TGAGTGCTGCCTGGCTGGGGTCCTTATCCTTCCATTCCTTGGTACCATCCCCTGCCCCCATGTGTCAGTTCTTCATGTATAGAACACTCCCTTAGCTAATCTGGTGTGTCTCCTCTCCTGTGTTACCCGAAGCGAACTTGTCACCATCTGATATTATTTTTGTTTGTGGATTGGCACAACTCCTCAGTTAAACTCTAAGTTCTTGGAGCACAAGGACTTTGTCTTGATCCTCTTTGGAATCTTTGATGCCTAGAACAGTGCCTGGCACACAGTGGATGCGCCACAAGTCCTATTGAATTAGAAATTGACTTAGACAGTGGAGTCCCCTGGGAGAATCTGCCTTCACATCTCAGTAAGTGTTCTCATTCTTAGAAGTAGAGTAGCCTCCTCCCCCATGTCCTGGGGCACCCAGTTTGCAGCCATATGGACCACATCCCTGCAGACCCTGCGCGCATTCAGTCTCCTCTTCCACAGCCCTGGGGAACTCTGCATCCATTTTTCCCATTTCATAGTCCAAGAAACTGATCCTTTCAACTAATTCCACATTGGACTTGCCCCAAACCCTGTGAATGCAGTCATCATTGTCCCAGGGGAGTGTGAAAGTCGGGGGTGAAGACAAAGCACACGCGCGGCAGAGGGCTGAGTTACGGCATTCACAAGAGCCTCTGAGAGCTCTTCTGTGACTCATTTATTTTAATGACATCAGAATATGACAATATGTTGAAAAAAGAACGCGCATTATTTATTCCATACTGGGGAAGTGGCACTATAACACTGTTTTCAAAAACATCTTTAAAAATTTCCTACTAGAACCTATTGTTGAGTTAGAGAAACAAGCTTTGCCAAATGCCCAGTTCTGCCTTTCCTGGTCCTGCTAGCTGGGATTTCTCTGCATATTTCCCAAGTGCTTCCTGTGGCACTATTTAACTAGAAAACATAAATACATGGCACCACACAAGACTATGCCCCCAGCGTCCCCGCCAGCTGAGAGTGTGCTGGGAGATGGCAGTAGGGAGGCAGGAGACACACCCCAAGTCATCAGGTGAGAGTGTGCTGGGAGATGGCTGTAGGGAGGCAGGAGACACACCCCAAGCCATCAGGAAGGTGTTGGAGTGTCTATCCAGGCTTCCCTCTATGTGGACACCCACTGTGGGGTAGCAGGAAGAACTCTGGCCTGGGTGTAGATACCTGAGTCTGTCCTGCCTGTGGCAGTGATTAGCTGTGTGACTTTGGTCTGTGGTCTAACCCTCAGGGTTCCTGCCTACCAGTAACCCCCTGGGATTCCTCTAGCACTAATGTCTTGGACCCTGAGTCTTGAGGGCAGATCACTTGTTGCTGTGGGCTTTTGCTCCCAGCAAAGGCAGTAGTGACTTCTTGGCCTTTGGGTTCAGTCTGGCCTAGGCCTTGTCTCTAGTGAAGGGCAAGGTTAGCTCAATCTCAGTCCCATCCATTCCTGAAGGGCACCCTGGGGGGTTTCTCCTTTCTTTCTCTGGCCCCAGGAGATCTCTCCCTTCTTGCCCTTCTCTTCACTGTTCTGAAGTATCAGACTTGGGTTCCTTGCTAGGAAAATGAAAAGGCAAAGCTGTCTTCCAAAAGGCCTTTTGGCGTGTCTATAACAGCAACAACAACAGCAATAGTAACAATAGCATCTTACATTTAAGATTTTTAGTTTACACTTTACAAAGAGCTTTTAAATACATCATCTCATCAGCCATTGGAGGGCCCCTTGGTTGAGTCAAAAGAAGAAGACCCTCTTTCCCCTTTCCTGATTCCTGCTCAGGGGGAAATAGCTGGAGTGGCCTCTTCTGTACATGCCTGTTCCCTCCCCCGACACATTGAACCATTCTTTTTCTGAGATAGGGTCTCTCTGTCATCTCCGCTTGAGTGCAGTGGCATCATCATAGCTCACAGCAGTCTCAAACTCCTGGGCTCAAGTAATCCTCCTACCTCAGTCTCCCCAGTAGCTGGCACAGGTATGTGCCACCACGGCCAATTTTTCTAACTTTAGGAGAGACAGGGTCTTGCTCTTACTCAGGCTGGGCTCCAATTCCTGGTCTCCCAATGTATTAGGATTATAGGCATGAGCCACCAAGCCCTGGCCCTGAACCATCTTAAGGTGCAAATTAACTAAACTCTTCCTGCCCTACGAGACTTTGTTTCTAGAATTTGGCTGCTCAAGGAAAGAGTTTTAACCTTCATTTGATAGGAAAACATTTTTGAGAGAATTTTCTTATTAGTTCTTGCATTTGGCATTTCTTAAAGGTAGGATTTCCAAAATTGATGAGGAAGGCTCAAAATCTCTCCTAAGCCACACTGAGAGACGATTCTGGCCCTTTGGCTGTCCTGGAATGCTACAGTTAGACTCAGGATTGGGCCCAGGGTGAGTGACACAGGGAGGCAAAGGGAGGCCTGTTGAGGCCTCTCAGTGATCCTGGGAAGGGCTCTTGACATGGCAGGCTGAATGGGCTTCATGCTGGGAAGGGAGAGCTGACCAGGGTACTGGAGGGGGGATAAGGCCTGGGGGGTAGGGACAGATCCCAGGACATCCCTCCCAGGGCAGAGCTTCAGAGCTGCCAGAAGGACTTTTGTGATCCATATGGAAAGCAGTGTTTCCTAGCCACCCACAAGACCATCTTGGATGACAGAGTGCTATGTCCTCTTCCAGGCCTTTCTCTAAGTTGCCCTGGCTCTCTTCCTAACCCAGAGCTTGCCTTGCTAGTCTCCTCCTCACAACCCTGCTGGCACACTCCTGCCTCACCTGGTGTGCACGGTCGTGGGAGGCCTTCATAAGTACCTCACTTCTCTCTGCCCTCCAGTGTGCATCCCACACCCTGGACCTCTGACTGCACCCCAGACATGCCCGGCTTTCCCCCAGTTCACTGCTTTTCAATAGGCTATTCCCAAGGAGGTTCAAATCCCTTTTCTGGCCCTGGCAAACTCCTGTTCATCTTTGAAGACCCAAGATTGAAAACTCTCCTCTGGCTGGTCACTTCTCTGTTTATCCTGCCATTCGAGAACTGACTGTGTGATAAAGCAGTAGTTGATTTTCATGGCATTTCTGCTTCAACCGTAGGATCCTTAAAGTCAGGACATGATTCTTTCCTACAAGGTTTAGTGGGTAAGTGAGCAAGTTCTGGAGTCAGACAGCCTGGGTCCAAATCCTGGCTCTACAATTTATTAGATATCTGCTTTTGGGTAAATTCTTTAACTTTTCTGTCTTAGTTTCCTCAACTGTAAAATGGGTTCATAATGTGTTAATGATATGATTGTTTTGGGAATTAAATAAACACACACATATCACAATTAGAAAGGTATCTGATGTATAATGTAAATACTAAATAAATCTAACTATTAATATTTGAAAAACAGCCATCATAAGGCACAGTACTTGGCACATAATGTATCTTGACATGCATCCTTTTAGGTAAATTCCTCTGCCATCTCCTCTCCCTTCTTCCTTCTCTTCCTTCCATTCTTTCTTCCTCTCTCCTTTCTTCTTTCCTTCTGTCCCTCCCTATCTCCACTTGCCTTACACTCTTCCCTCTTCCTTCCTTTTCCTTCTCTCCCATCTTTATTCCTTGAGTCTTTCGCTACCTTTGGTCCTCAAAGAGCTACTAGGCTCCTCTGGGGGAATGTCAGAGCTGGAGGCTCCACTAGGTTCCCAATTCTTCTCTCTGAAGCCTCTGCAGTGGAGGCTTCTGGGGGAAGGAGAGGAGGGATGGATGGTGTGAGCCTGGGAGTGGGCGTGAATGGCTGAGACCCTGGGGGTATACACACTAACCAGATGGGGTGGGAGGGTTAAATGAAGGTGGGGGACAGAGCTTCCTTCGGGAGTTGGAGCAGAGGCCAGAAGGGCTGCCTTTGCTTATATTCCCTAGATACCTAAGACCCTTCCTTAAGAATCTTTTCAGATACTAGGGGGAGGAGGGGGAGAACAAGGAATGAACAGGCAAGAATAAGAACAGGAAAACAGAATAGCTGGAAAAAAATCCACTTTCCTTTCTGGTAGGACTTCACTGGTGAATGTAAACTAGTGGAATCTTCCGTGTTCACCCACTCTGGAAAAAGAATCTAGAGCTTTGAGTCTGGATCCAGGTCTGGGTCTTCCAATTATTAGAAATATGGCTTAAGGCAAGGTACAGAGCTTGAAAGGGTGGGGAGAGGAAGTGGAGGGGGGCTGTTTCCTTATCTCTGAAATGGGGTCTACTGTCTCTACCTTCCCCAGGGAGGCAGGGTTTGGATGGAGAAGGTAGTGGACAAGAGGTACTTTGTGATTTCATGGTGGCCTGGAGGCTTAAGGGTTAGAGGCCCATCAGTCCTGTAGGGAGAGCCTCTAGGAACCTTCCAGCAGGGTAAGTCTGCAGCTGTGTGTGGGCCTGTTTCCAAAGCCTTCTTTACCCCAGTGGGCCTGGCTGCCTGCCCTCCTGGCACTGAGCTGCCAGGGGGAAACTGGCTGGAAGGAGGGGGCCAGTGCTTGTGGCCTGAGGAGACAGCATGCCCCTCTCTTCCCTCTCCTAGGGAGGGTTAAGAAAAGAGCAGCTGTTTTAAAAATTGGTACAACAGTCCCAGATTAATCCTGTAGCTCAGATAGTCCTCAGATGGAAAGCAAGGCCAGTGGGAAGGGGAAGAAAGGTCTCCCAGTGGGCTCAGACCCTGCAGGGGGCCACGGGGACACACAGGAGTAGCAATTGTCTGGGTCACAGTGAGACTCACTCTAAGAAGGCCAGGGCCAGCTTCTCCTGAAAGAACCGGGCATCTTGGGCATTGACAGCCAGGACTCTGAAAAGCTGAGTGCTTTTAGGAAAGAAGAAAAGAAAAGGGAGTTAAAAACAAGAAGCAACGAAGAAAAATCTTTTCCTTCTCTCTGTCTCCCTGTCGCCCTTCCTTTTCCTGAGCCCGACTAGCAGGCCTGGGTGTCTGCAACACGATGGTGTTTCATCAGTGGGAAGCCTTCCTTCCTCCTCCTTCCTCGGACAGGCTACCATTCTCTATTCTTATCCTTTTGTTTTAAAACATTTTTATTAGTCTTTTTTTTCTTAAAATTTTTAACAGCCGTTTATAAAAACACAACAAATACACAACACAAAACAAAACTTGGTAAAAATAACTCACTATATGGTACATATACTCAGATGGTGTGATAGATTTATATAATAAAAGATGAAAATAATCACTTTCATAATAAAAATAAGTTCTATTTTTTGTTTATTTTACAATATACTTAATATTCTCTTCTTCTGTTTCCTCTCTGGCTTCATCTCCTTCACTCTGAATTTCAAGGTTGGGGGGTCCCCCGTGGCTGTCCTAGCTCCACTGAGCTGGAGTCTGAGAGGCGGTGGGCAGAGGCTCAGGAACACAAGCGGCAGCCGCACTCTGAGTGTCTCTCCACCTCTTCCACGAACGACGAGCCGTCCGTGCACTGGAACACGTATTTCCGCCGCTTGCTGCGGGTGGGCTGGCAGCACTGAGCCCCGCAGCCCCCGCGACATTCCATTATGGGCACCTTGGAGGCGGTGACACATGACACGTGACCTTTCTGGCGGCGGATCACCTCTCGGACCACCTCCCCCAGGCATGGATTCTCTGCAGAGGACAGAAGGGGTACTGTCAGTGCATGGCGGTGTAGGTGGCTGTCGGGACCAGGAGCAGAAGCCAGGTAGGCTGTTCTGACACACTTGTGAGCTGAAGACCACAGAGAACGTACCCATTTACCCATCCATAAATATTAGGTGCCTTTTCTGTGTGAGGCTCTTTACTAAGCCCTGAGGACGTAATGGTGATGCAAGTAGACTTTGTTCCTGCCCTCAGGAAAATTAAAATCCAAACAGACGAGGCAAACTGGTAGCCTGTGGGCTGAAGCCTGTCCCCAGATAAGTTTTCTACACATGATTAAAAACTAAACTAAATGCCAGTGTTCACATGACAGGAGATTTCACCTAGGTTTGGGTTTCTGGCTTCTTTGGAAACTAAGAGGTCTGGTTCCTGAACCTGCATTGTGAAGATGGGCTGAGGCTGAGTGCGGCAGGTGGGGCGGGGGAGCTCCTGTGTGCTCCAGTCCCCACCTCTCCTTGAAGCCACAGTCCTCGGCTGCACATTCTCGGTAGGTCACTTGTCATCACTGAGCCTCAGTTTCCACATCTGGAAAAGAACACACTTGCCTTTCCTTCCAACTAACTCACAGGCTGTTACGAGCATCAGAGGAGATTGTGAAGAAGAAAAGGCTGTATGCATATTGAAGCTTTGGTGTTTTAAGGTGACGTAATGTGAATTCTGTTAGGATGAATACAGATCTTTATGAGACGGCTCTAAGGCTCAGATGAGAAAGAGGCTGATGATAATGGTGTGTGCACATGTGTGTGTAATGTGGTGGGAGGGGAGGAGCAGATGGGGCAACAGGGTCACCGCTGGGGTAAAGGCAACATGAGAGCTGTTTATACTGTTCTGATAATATTTAGGTAAGTCAGAAGTTATTGAAAAATGAGCAGTTTTGGTTAATAAGATTATTTCCTTTTAGGTATAAAATGTGGAAGAGTCCTCAAGTGATAGGGTGGCTTGCTTGGGATTCTGGTGGCAAGAAGACTTCTTAAGTGTCCTCACAGGAGAAGAAACTTCGAGGGGAGACAGAACTATTTTAATGTTAGTATAATTTACTTTTAATTTTCCTTTTTTGAGCTCACCTTGAAATTATACAATAAAGGGGCCATTCACTCAGATAAGTAATTCAATGTTTCTGAGAATAGATCAGACCAAGGAGCTGTTGCTGGCCTAATAGTAGCAGGAGGGTTGGATGAAGAATGTGGTACCACATCTGCGATGTTGATTCACATGTGAATTGCTGGGATTTGTGTCAAAACGCAGGTTCTGACCCAGAAGATCAGAAAGCCTGGGTGGGGCTGCAGGGTCTGCAGATCTAAGAACTCCCAGGTTGATTGTTGGCGGTGCTGGTCAGGGGGCCACCCTGCATGGCTGGGGCATGAGGCAGTTTTGAAGGGATCTCCAGGGCCAACAGCTGGAGAACAGGAGCCAAGAGACAAGAACCGTCTTGATGGTTCCTGCTTCCTCCCTAAAAGAGGTCTGGGGATGATCATTTTCGACACTGACAATTAATTAAAGGTGAAACAAGTATTTTTGGTATTAGCTGTATCTTTTGTGAGTCATTTATCACTCACTTATGAAATGTTAAAAAGTTCATACTTTAAGAATCTTAACTTCTGGTGCTTTATTTACTAGGACGTCTCTTCTTTAATACCTATGCAGTAAGGGCTATGAGTTTTTCACACTTTTGAATGAACCAGAGAAGTATGCTCTTCACTAAGTGACAGAGCTTGGCTACCTTTGCCACAACAGTGTTGCCTCTTACAAATCTTTACCTGGATTTTTCATGAAAATCGGCTATAATGTAGATAGCTAGCAAACTGTTAGCATGGTGCTAGATGCCAGATACTTACACCTTGTGTTTTCCTTCCAACAATCCACAAGGCAGAGTAGTAGGCAGCCTCCTGAATGGTCCCAGGGACTCCTGCCTCTGGGTAGGGAGGTGCTCTATGTAGCCCCCTCTCTCAGTGACATGCTTAACTCATATAACAGATATGGTGTTTGGGGATGCTGGTGTGATGTCCAAGGTCTATAAAACATCATGCTTCCTCCTTGTGCTATCTTGGAGTGTCCATGCTGAAGGAAGCCAGCTGTGCCGTCTTGAGAATCCTGAAGCAACCCATGTAGGGACTCATATGGGGCAGAACTGAGGCCTGCTGCCAGCACCACAGGAGTGCACCATATTGGGAGCAGATGCTGCTGCCTTGGGTTAGCCTGCAGATAGCTGCAGCCCTACCTGAATGCAACCTAGAGAGCCCCCAGCAAAGCTGCTTCTGAATCCCCAACCCACAAGAACTGTGTGGGCTAAAAAAATATTTACTATGATTTAGAACTGCTATGTTTGGGGACTAACTTGTTATGTAGCAATAGATAACTGATACAGGAAGGTAGAGTGTTGCCCCCATTTTCAAGATGAGAAAATTAAGGCTTAGAAAGTGACTAAACCAAGGTCATGCAGCTCTAGATGGCACAGCCAGAACTGGAGCATAGGCTGTCTGCATGTGGAGTACGACTCTGATCCTGTTTTCTTCCCAGGCCTTCTCCTCATGCACCCAGCAGACCCACCTTGTTGGCAGTGTTCCCCACTAAAGCCAGGCTGGCACAGGCAGTAGGGCTCCCCACGGTCTGAGATGTGACACTGCCCATGGTGACATTTGAAGGCTGAGCAGGCATTGGTGGAATCATTCTTGTGGTCACACAAATCCCCTCCATAGCCCTCGGCACACTTGCACACGTATGAGGTCCCAGTTGCCACACATTTCCCATGGCTGCAGCTGGGGGAAGAGGGGAGTATGAGAAGGGAATGAGATCAGACCTAATCCTGCCAGAGGCTTCCTCGATCCACCCCAGCTAGAACCCAGGCTCAGGCTGGGGACCTGGAGCTGTGGGACCTTGTATAGCTCAACCAGCCTTCTCCATCTCCTGACCTGTCCTCTGCTAGCCCAGTGGCTGACCATCTGTCTTTTCTTAAATACCCCATCTCAGTGGCCAAGCAGCTGGAAGCTTTGAGCATCATCCAATGTTCACTGCCCGCTTGTTGTCATATACACTGGAACTCACATGGCCAAGTGGCAAATCATACCTTGGAAGAATCTAAGCATGCACGACATATTTTCATTGTTCTACTATCGTGATGATAAAAACACCACTGTTACTACTATAGACTACTACTATGACTGCCACCAGCAGGTACCACTTGCCATGTGCCAGGCATCATGTTAAGTGCTTTCCACCTAGTGTCACCCTTAATTTTCATAACAACCCCTCTTCTGCTGCTCCTGTGCACGTGACAGTCTTATGCACATCTCACCAGTGAAAAACCTGATGGTACTGCCTCCATTCTTAATCTGATGCCTTTTCACCCCATTGGGATGTCCAAGCCAGGATTCATATTAATTACAATCACACACACATTCACATACTCAAGAGCAGGCGTCCTCAAACTATGGCCCGCCTAGGACATTTATCCAGCCCGCTGTGTGTTTTTGCCACCGCTGCCTGTCTTGCTTAGCAGCTGACTCATCCTGGGGCCCGCAGTCTGGCCCTCCAACAGTCTGAGGGACAGTGAACTGGCCCCCTTGTTTAAAAACTTTGAGGACCCCTGTTCAAGAGCAACATGGAAGCTCAAACCCCTTATAACTGGCCCTCACTGCTGATGCAAAGTATCAGTTCCCAACTTGTTCAGCCACCCAAATTACCAGTCTTGGCTCCAGTATTATTTTTGGCTGAGACAGATCTCTTAATACTGAGAATACTGGAACTCTATATTTAGCATAAGGCCTGGCACATAGTAGGCTCTCAGTAAATGTTACTGAATGAACAGTTGATTAAACTATGAAGCGTGGTTTGGCTATGCGTGGTTATATACACCTGGTGCCTGACACCGGGCACTGTAGTCAAGTTAGGGCTGAAATTCACCCTTATTGCACTTGCCAAGGTAAGGCTACCCAGGGGGGCACATTTTCCTAATTCCCACAGGGGCAGCTGCTCACTGTGGCTTTGGATGGGGTCTGAGGCAGGGGTGGGGAACCTGCAGCCTGCTAGGTCCTTAAGTGAGGTGTTTGGACAGAATCCAAATTTTACAGAACAAATCCGTTCATGCTGGTCAGAGACAGGTGTTCAAACAAGGGCCTCTCTTGTTGATCCCTCTGCCAGGATGTGAAAGCTCAGCCTCTAGAGCAGTGATTTTCAACTGATGTGTCACAAAAATTTTTACAGGTCATTAATTATTTTCAAAAGAAGTTCACAGCACAGTACATATATTCTTTATTTTTTTACTCTTGTTTTGATCAATATAATTGAAGTGTGCCGTGGAAGTTCAAGTACGAGTTCAAGTGTGCTGTGAAGTAAGAGAGGTTGGAAATCACTGCCCCAGAGGCTTTAAACACTCATACGTGTCCTGTCTGCAACCTGACCATGATCCCTCTGACATCTGCCACCGCCCACTTGTCAGCCACACTGGGGGGGCCCAAGGGGCAGCTCTCTGGGACACTGACCTGTGGCCAAGGCAGGGGTCTTGGACCTCTTGGTCACACAGCGGGCCGGTCCAGCCGGGGTGGCATTCACATACCACACTGTCCTTCTCCACGGATCGGCACAGGCCGTGCTTGCACACGGTGCAGGACTTGCAGCCCGGCGAGACCCCCAGGGACTGTGGCGGAAGGGCCTTGAAGTCCTGCAGCTCATTGTTAATGCGCACCTCGTGGATGCAGCCGTGGAAGCCACCCAGCGGCCGGTCAGTGCCCTGGCGCAGGGCGGAGAGGCCCGTGGAGGTGGGGATGCCTGCAAAGTTGGGGGAAGTCAGGACAGCAGCCTAGATTCCCTTCCCCTGCCCGCCCTGCAGTCCTGTCCTCAGAGCAGGAGCGCTGTGCACATGTCCATGCTTCTGTGTCTGAAGCTCTGGGCCTCTGCTGTTCAAACCAAGGTGATGAGCCCAGATTCAGGGCCCTTTCCACACTAGAACACACATCCTCCGTTCTACATTGAGACATTTTAAAAACCTTGAATTCAAGCCTGGTGCCATGGCTCCCAGCACTCTGGGAGGCAGAGGCGGGTGGATTGCTTGACCTCAGGCTTTTGAGACCAGCCAGCAAAAGTGAGACTCTCTACTAAAAATAGAAAAACTAGCTGGGCATGGGGCAGGTGCTTGTAGTCCCAGCTACTTGGGAGGCTGAGACAAGAGGATTGCTCGAACTCAGGAGTTTAAGGTTGCTAGCCTGGGGCAACAAGTGAAACTCAACCCTCCCCCACAAAGAGCCAACAAAAAACAGCCCCCCCAAATCTCTTGAATTAGTTGCCAATATTTAAATATAGAAAATATCCCATAAAAATTTGTATTTTGGGCTTCCCTAGGAAAAAAAAATGAGTCCATCTGGTCACCTACTTCCACATGGCCCCATGGGCTGAACTGAGACCACCCACTCAGGCAAGGAGGGCTGGTACACCCAATTACCCCATCCCTACCAGGCCCCTTCAGTTCTTTGATCTAGGCCTCACAAGGGAACCCAGGGCAGGAGAGCTATAGTTTAGGAGAGAGGATGGGGTTTGGGGGAGCAGCTTTGATCACTGGAACACTGAGGCTCAAGGTTGTTAGACGACTTTGCTGCTTGATGTGCTCTCTACCCCTCCTCTCAGTGTCTTCAGGATACTCTCAATAGACCTCCTGCACTTTCCAGTGCATCTGCTTAGTGTTTCCGCTCTCTTATTGTACTGCTCCCTGCCCAGTGCCTACAGTTGGCAACCTGGGACCAGTCTGGAAGCTGAAAGCAGAGGACCCAGTTTTGTTTGGCTACAACTGGGGCAGGAGAAGGGATGGGGCAAGATCTTCCTCTGCGCAGTCTGTGCCCTTCTGGGATTGCTTTGAGCCAGCATTCTTCCCTGGACACCCTGCATCTGAACCACCTGTTAACAGCACAGACTCGTGGGCACATGGTATCCCTCTGGACACGGACTCTCTGAGTGGACATCTCAGGAATCTGTATTGATAAGGGGCTATTGTGGCTTTTTTTCTTAAACACATAACCCTTAAGAACTATTGGCCCAGGAACTACATTTCAGGCCCAGATTCTGCCAAACTGGTGGGCACTTCCCTTTTTGGTCTTTGATCTTAATCTCAAATGTGTTCTTCACATTCATCAACTGAACCTCACAGTGTCCAAGGAGGCGGCAGAGCAGAGAGAGTGTGACCTGAAGCTGCCAGAGAGAGTGTGACCTGAAGCTGCCAGACTGCAGCAAAACCTGGACTTGCTTCCATCACCCACCTCCCTTCTTCATCCCCCCAAACAACTTGTACTTCCCAGAAGGAGTCCTAATCTCTCTCCCTTCCAAGCATCTGCCCCCAATTGTCATCTTTTCCCCATAGCTAATAATAGGCCTGGCTAATGCCTGTTCACACTTTCAGGATTGCCTTGGTTGTCACTTCCCGCAGGAAGCCTTCCCTGACTGGCTTTGGTAGTGGGCAGTGAGAGGAGGGCAGGGAGTCCCTGGTAGTGGGCCTGGGGGTCGTAGGGGAGGAGAGCGTTACCTCCAAGGTAGAGGGGGCTGTTGATGCTCACTGCTGGCTGCTTCTGGAGCTTCCCGAGGCTCTTGGGCACGCCTTTGTCCACCACCAGGTTCAGGGTTTGGTTTAACATCACCAGCTCCACACTGTGAAACTGCCCGTCATTCACTGTCTCCACGCTGGGCAGGAGAGAAGGGGAGAGAGCTGGAGAGGCTGGCACTGGGCTAGGGATTTGACCTGCTTCACTTGTATTTTGTTTTACTCTTTATTTGGAAATAACATATAACTTCAATCTTATATAAGTTGCAACTGTATTGTTATTTTTGCAGTACCCAGATTCTCCGATTATTCCCATTGCTTTAAGATTTATCTCCCTCCGTGATATACACACACATATAAATGTATATATATGCATTTTTTTGGTGAACCATTTAAAGGTAGGTTGCACACATCCTAGCACTTTATCCCTAGTACCTTGGTGTGCATTCCCTAAGGATAGGGGTCCTCTTTCACATAAGCGCAGCAATTACCAGCTTTGGTATAGTTAACATTGATATATTTGTATCTAGTCTATCATCTGTATTCTAATTTTTCAGTGGACCCAATAGTTTCCTTTATAGCATTTGCTTCCTGCCAGTCTAGCATCAGGTGTTGCATCTGGTTCTCGTTATTTGCATTCTTTTCTATCATTTCATAGAGTTCAGCAAACTCCATCCTTTTTTTTTTTTTTTGAGACAGAGCCTCAAGCTGTGCCCCTGGGTAGAGTGCCGTGGCATTACAGCTCACAGCAACCTCCTACTCCTGGGCTCAAGTGAGTCTCCTGCCTCCGCCTCCCAAGTAGCTGGGACCACAGGCGCCCGCCACAACGCCCGGCTATTTTTTGGTTGCAGCCATCATTGTTGTTTGGTGGGTCCGGGCTGGGGATTCGAACCCGCCACCTTAGATGTACGTTGCTGGCGCCTTAGCTGGTTAAGCTATAGGCACTGAGCCAGCAAACTCCATCCTTAGACCATGTCTTGATTTCTGCTCTGCCCGCATACCACCTGGACCATTGCTCACTCAACACGTTCTTTTTCATTTTTCCCCTTTTAGACTTAAATATCAGTAAAGATACAAGGTTATCAATGTTCTAAGAAATAAAAAATATTTCGATGTGTTTTTTATATATGTTTTCCAGTATATATGAAACACATTTTTTTCATAGTTACAATTTCAATAGCTTATCACACCTGAATTCATCTCATGTACTACCAGTGGTGTGCATACCACATTTGGAGAAATACTGCCTTGTAACACCCCGGCAAGGTGAGTTTGTTATCCCCACTATGGAAATGGGGAACTAGAAGCTCAGGGAGGTTAAGTCATTTACCCGAAGCCTCACAGTTAAGAAGTGATGGAGCAGGGATTTGAACCAAGGTATAAGTTTCTTATTCTGAAAATCTGAAATGCTTCACAGCCCCAAGCATTTTGAGTACCAACATGATGCTCTAAGAAAATGCAGATTAGAGCATTTTCAGATCAGAGATGCTGAATTGGCATGTATAATGTAAATATCCCCCAATTCAAAATCGGAAGCACTTCTGGTCTCAGACATTTAGGATGAGGAATGATGAACTTGGACCTTCCCCTTATGGTGCTGTCTCTGATAGTACAGGCAACTTGCTGAGGGCTTGGAACCAACAGGGGTTGACCAGGGAGATTTCAAGGTGAGAGGGAGCCTCCATATTTACCACCCATACCTGAATGGATGAGAACAGAGCTCAGTGTAGTTCTCAGCCCCTCCTGAGCAGCTGGGACTATAGTCATGCACCCCCACACCAGGCAACATATCCCTATCTCTACTGTGATCCTCTGTAGGCTAAACTGCTAGGGAAATGTGAGTAGTTATTATTAGTGCTGCTGATAAATAAGAGCCCACCATTGCCTCTAATGCTGATCGATGGAAGAAAGTGATGGCAGAGGACAGGGGACCCATTCAGACCTATCCATCCCACATCCATCCAACCACCACCCACCTTTGCATCTACCTATCCATTCACTCACCCATTTATCCACCTACTCTCCTACTCACCTATTTATTCATCTACCTTCTATCTATCCGCCCACCCACATGCACCCACCCACTGAGCATTTGCTCTGGGCCACACTGTTGTAGGTGCTGGGAATCAGGGGCAAACAGGATAGGGTCTTTCACTAACAGAGCTCACATTCTTCTTTCTTGAGTTTTCCCCCTAAATTAAATGGCCAAGTGATCCTTATCAATGTAAGATCTGGTCAAGAAATAGGCCAGTGGGGGTACGTGCTGGGTAAGAGGGTCGTTGGAGGATCTGGTTTTGCAATGAGGAGCCAAAATGCTCTTTGAAGGGAGAGCTGTTTCTTTGTTTCTTTTTGGAGACACGGTCTTACTTTGTTGCTCATACATGAGAGCAATGGTGTGATTATAGCTCACTGCAACTGCAAACTCCTGGGCTCAAGGAATCCTCCTGCCACAGCCTCCTGAGTAGCTGGGAACTACAGCTGTTCACCACCATACTCAGCTAATTTTTTTATTTCTTTTTGGAGACAGGGTCTCACTGTATTGCTCAGGCTGGTCTCGAACTTCCCACCTCAAGCAATCCTCCTGCCTTGGCCCCTGCAAATCGCTACAGTTACAGATGTTGAGCCACTGTACCTGGCCCTGTTTCTATTTCAGAAGCCTCCAACTGCTCCAAGCCATGAGCTGAGGACAAGGCAGAGGCTGTGATCCTGCAGACAAGTTGCTGAAGGCAGGTGGGGGGATGAGGGCTGGTGTGCAGAGACCTTAAATCTGTGACTTTGAGCCCTCACACAGTTTTTTAACCACACACACAAAAACATGCAGATCCATCCCCAAACCATCCTGTAAGCTGATGCTGTCTGGATGCAAATGAGCTCCTCAGCCTGCAGGTGTGTAAACAGATGCTGGGCAGCCACCTGTCAGAGAGGGAGCTGTCAGGAGGCTGCAGCTCTGGGTGGGTGGTCTTGGCAGTCCCAATCAACACTAAGATTCCGGGAGCTGGGCAGCTGTTTTCTCATTATAGACACACAGGCACAGTGGGCACACCCACTGCTCCTTTCCTGGAGGCTGGCCTGGTGCCCATTCCCTCCTTCCTTTCCTGCCATCCCTGGGCCAGCTCAGGACCAGCTGCATGGCCTTCCAGGCACCTGAGCTGGAGACAGCAGTTTGGCAGGAGCAGAGAGGACTATGCAGTCTCTGGCTCCTGCTTCAGACAGAGTGCTGAGTACCATGGTGCCCCAGTGACTGGGCCCATGGAAGGCCTCGCCTGATGCCCACCTGGGAGAGTCCCTAGGCAAGCCTCTCCCTCTAGGTGTAGTCCTCAGCCAGTTTACACCGGGTGTGGAGGGAGAGATCTGATATTGACTGTGCTGGGTTCCCCAGCGAAGGGACCCTGGGCAAGTCATATCACTTCTATAAGCACCATTTCTGCTTCTTTACAGAGTTTTACACTTGCTTTACCTTGGGTTTTAATGGGCAATGCACAGCCCCCATACCCACCAAGGGCTCAGTAAAGGTGGAATGATGAGTCTCCGACCCTTATGCTAGGCTGGAAGGAGCTGGGTGTGGCAGGGACTGGGGTTGGGGAGTAGATTAGTGAGTCCTTGAGGAGTCTGTCTACTGACTTCTCAACCTTATAGCTGCCCAGGGCTTTGAGTTGCTATATACTGCTGCTGGCTCAGCCATCTCTGGGAAGGGCACTCTTGTGAGCCTGTTTTATAGGGAAGGAATCTAAATAACTTGACCAAGGCCCCACTGTTAGGAAGTGCTAAAATTGAGGTTCAAAGTCAGGATTAATTCTAAATTCAAACCTCCTATAATGCTGTCTATGCCAGTGGTGCTCATGGGTCAACCGGGTGCCCCTTTCTGACACATCTTAGCCAGTGTCTTCTGGAAATAAAGCAAATAAAGTCTAAAGCCAGTGCATTTCAAACTGTGGATTCCTGGAGGTTTAGGGATGAGCAGCACTGAAGGCTCTGTTTTTTTTTTTTAATAGCCCCATCCCTAAATCAGAATGGCTTTATTTCTTCTTGACTTTTTAAAAAATTGTAGTCTTTGGTAAAATGTCAGTGGGAAAACGGCTCCACTGCTACAAAAGAAGAGAAAGAAATAGAAAAAATGACTGCCTGTGTTCACTCTAAAAGAAATGTTCATTCTGTAGTCCCCGGTAATTAGTCTCCTGGAGAGATATTTAGGGACTTCGGAGGAAAGAAGGGGGCTCTGAGAGTCTTCCTCATTTGCCACTGGGTCAGACTGAAACAAGTAGTAGGAGGAGAGTGTTGTGGGTGTCCTGCCTGGGGCAGGTGTGACCACAGGCCTTGGCCAGAGTGGCCTGTGGCCCTTTATCTGCTTTTACCTTTAATAAGAGTGGCGGATGCACGCGTGTTAGCAGGGGCCAGGCATTGAGCTACCTTATGCTAAGCATCCTCTCATTTAACTCTCAACCCCCCCAGGTGAGAGGCATAATTTTTTTCTCCATTTTAGAAATAAAAGACATAAAGCTCAGAGACTTAAGGTGCCCGGCCCAAAGACTTAAAGTGGAAGTGGTGGAAACAGGACTGGTCTCCTGAGCCCCAGGACCCCGTGCAGCTGGGAAGAAGGTAATTGCAGGGGGTGGTCATTCATCCAGGTGAGAGCCCCAGGTGCGAGGCGCTCTCACCTGAATGCTGCGTGGGAACCACCAGGTGGCGACAGAGCCTCACAGGAACAAAGTGCCTGGGAGCTCCGGCTGCAGCTGAGCAGGCTGAGCCCTCACACTTCACTGCAGCAACCCCTACTCCTGTAGCAAGGTGGGGGGAGTGGCCTCCACTTTCTCCTGGCCTGGCCTTCACACCCCAGAGCCAGCACGGTGGGAGAGCCGGTTTTGGTCAAAGCCTGACCTGGATTTAAATCTCAGCTCTGCCACTTCCTGGCTTCTAGCAGCATCAGGCTTCTCATCCCTAAAATAGGAGTGATGATGCCTCCTTGGGGCCCATGGAGAGGATCGCACGACACAAAGACCTTGGCAGTGGATAGGACTGTGGTAATTAGGACTCAGGAAGCAGGCACTGTGCTAAACAGAGCTCCCACATGATGTTTGAAAATGGCTAACATTTAAAAGCAGATATTTCACATAGAAACCCCAAACCTCCAGCTTCCCTTGATAACCTGCATTCCCATATGGCAGTGTCTGGAGCTGGAGCTGAGGTCTGCTGCCCCTTTGGTGGGGCCTGTACCCTCTGGCTTCTACAATCCCCACCACTCCCTATAGGGCCCTCAGCCCACTACCCACATCTGTGGCCTATGTGGCTGCGTTGCCTTGCTGGCAGGTGGGACTGGCCTTTGACAAGCCTCAGTCCCAAGGAATAGTGAAGTCTGTCCCCATTCTGGGACAAGGGCCCCAGGGTCTTAGGTGGGCTATTTTGTGTATTTCCCCTCGGGCCTGGAGTGGAATCCTGAGGTGCCGTCATCACTATCTGAGACTTTAGCTGGGCAGCTGAACAAAGTCAGACGCAGACAGGAGGGAGGCCACAGAATCTAGGCTGTAAATCTCTGCTGGGACCCAGACTGCTTCTCCTCACTCTGAGGGCTGGTCAGTGGCCTTGGCAGGCCTCAGCAGGCAGAAGGCTGCAGGTGGCAACACCCCCAATCAATGAGCTTTGATTTGGGACCATGACCTGGCCCTGACGCCGAGGAGGTCTTCCTGGGTAGCTAGAGGTCACCAGAGTGATGATGAGGAAATCTCATGTTTTGTCTGGAATGGCCTCCTGACCCACCTCAGCTGCTGGTCAGCTCAGCCCATGCCTCTGCTAAGCCTCCCACCCTCAGCCTGGCCTCCAGGCATGCTGGTAGGCTCTCCTCCCTGGGGCTGCCTCACTGCTCAGCCGTGGAAATACTCCTACATCACAGGTCAAGCCTCAGCTCAAACATTGCCTCTTCCACTAGGGAGCCTTCCCTGCTCCTCCAAATAAAAATACTTGCTCCAGCTTCAGTGTGCTCACAGTGCGTCTCCAGCATCTCCACTGAGAACTGTTTTATTCTGCTGTGTAACCGCTGCTTGCTTTCACGTGTGGACTATGTTTACCTCTGTGTTCCCTGTACCCGGCCCAGACAAGGTGCCTGACAGATGTCTGGTGAGTGAGAGAGCGAGCACACTACCAGGGCAGAAACAGGGCTGCCTCGGAGGAAAGGGTGGAAGCAAAACCACGCTTAACATGGGACTTCTGGAGACTTTGGGCTGAATGAAAGGCACTAAAGATCTGTCACGGGCTCAGCATGAGGACCCAGGCATCCCTCATTTGGTCCCCTCCCACAGCTAAGGCAGGGTGTGGCATGTTCCCAGGGCCACCTGTGACACCTCACGACTACTTGACAGGAGCTGCAGGACAGCACAGGGCTCCCAAATTCCTACCACCAGCATCAACCCTTTACCACGTCACCACTCCCAATAGCTAACGTCAGCCTAAAAGAAAGGCGGGGCTTGGCTCAGAGAAGGCCCCATACTCAGGACACGGCCCAGCAGTTTCCAAGAGCTTGGCTTTCACCTGTCCTGGATGTGCCCACGTAAAGGCTCAATTTGTCAAGTACTTTCTTTTTTTTTTTTCAGTTTTTGGCGGGGGCTGGGTTTGAACCCACCACCTCCGGCATATGGGGCTGGCGGCCGGTGCCTTACTCCTTTGAGCCACAGGCACCGCCCTGTCAAGTACTTTCTTAAATATTATTTCAGTCCTCAAAGAATGCCTCAGGAAGGAGGTATATCCTGGTATTACCCACAGTTTACAGGGGGGAAGCCGAAGCACAAAGAGACTGACTTTGTTCCCTCCAACCCTGTGGGGCACTTTTGTCTCTGTGCATTTAATATTCTTAAGTTCAATATACAACTTTGATGGAATAAAAGATTTAGTTAATGGGGATAAAAAGGTCTGAAAATCACTGCTCTTCCCCAACCCTGTGAAATACGCTCTTGCTTCCAAAGGTCAAAGTGTGGCCTTCTGTGGTGCCATGGCTTCCTTGGGGTTAGCTCCTGATCCACTGGTGGTTTCACACCATTTTAGGTGTAACACAGAGAGGCATTTCCAAAATTTAGTAGCTATTTTTATAACCAAATTAAATTATTTTAATAGTTATTTAGTATTTATTTTACTGAGAAGTGGGGGGAAAAAATCTAATGTATAAAACTAGCATACCTGTGAGTCCCCAGAGACTAAATTCAAAAAGCGAGCAGGTTGGAAGCTGATGTGAGATGGCAGATGAAGTAACAGCACAGCTGCCACACAGATCATACACAATTCAGGGTGACTCTTGGAAAGTCACCTAAGGAGCAGTCCTGCTCCCTTGGTCCTCTCCAGTCCTCTCCCTTGAGCTACATGCTAATCGTCCCCTGTTGTCTTTCTTAAACTAATAAAAGATTAGGATGACATTTTGAAAAGGGCATCTCATTAAGCAGCTCTGTCCCCACTGCAGCACCCGGCTCCATGCGCAGTAGCCGGCTGGCCATTTATCTTATGGTGATGAGGTGTCATCTTCCTGCTCCCCCCCATTTCGGGGGCCTGCTGTCCTCTCCTCTCCTGCCACTTCAACATCCCCCTGCCCTTGCACACTCTGTGCAAGGAGGAAGTGTGAATGTGTGTGTGTGAGTTTGGGGAGAAATGGGGGCTAGGAGACAGGACACCAGAGTCACCTGGCATCTTCTTGCAGGGCCAGATGGCAGGAAGATATGGAGGCACAAGAGATAGGTGGGCAGGTCCTCACCTGTACACCGTGGTTGGAGGGGAACTCAGGCTGTCATAGACCAGCCTCACGTGGCCCTGGTACAGCTCCAGCGCCAGGGGGTCATTGTCTCCCTTGTAGAGAAGGATGCCATTGTCCTTGTCAGTGGCCACCTGGAGAGAGTAACCAGGACATGTGTCAGGGCTTACCTGAGGCCAAACCTCCACTGATCCCCCCTCACAGGACTCTGCCCCAGGTGGTGGCTTCTGAGTCAGTGTTTGTGAGTTGGATGGGGGGGGGGTCTGAATTCATGTTTATCTTTCCTCCTCCACCTAGTTTGTGAGTCCCCAGAAGGCAAGGCCTAGATTCATACTTCCGTAAATGCCGACTACGCACACCACTCCCACAGATATTTATTGAGAGCCTACCAAGCACCATTAAGTTCTTATATTTATGTCAGAAGGCCCAAGCTCTAATCTGTCCTCTCCCACAGGAGCACACTGTAGTCGTACACAAGTCCCTGCTCCTGGGACCTCAGTCTCTCTGCATAATAGTTATCAACAAAATGCTAATTCATCCATCTAATTCACTGTTTACAATGAATTAAGCACTTTATTAAGAATCATTTGGGGAATTTTAAAAAAATTCCATTGTCTGGGTCAGGCACAGTGGCTCATGCCTGTAATCCTAGCACTCTGGGAGGCTGCATGAGCTCAGGAGTTTGAGATTAGTCTGAGAAAAAGTAAGACACTGTCTTTACTAAAAATAGAAAAACTAGCCAGGCATCATGGTGTGCACCTGTAGTCCCAGCTACTCCAGAGGCTGAAGATTACTTGAACCTAGGAGTTTGAGGCTGCTGTGAGCTAGACTGAGGCCATGGCACTCTAGCCTGGGTGATATTGCAAAACTATTGTCTCAAAAAAAAAAAAATACACTCCAGACCCCAGACCAAGTCCACATGAATTCCTCAGGGATAGGACATAGGCAAAGACAATTTAAAAAGGTCTGCAGGTAATTTTAAAGAATTGCCAAGGCCGAGGGACACTGGTTTCAGAAGATGCTGCCTACAAGGTACTCATTTGCTAGTCACCTGGCTGCAGGGATGAGATTCTCAGATTGGTCCATGGGCTCCCATTGCCAGCATGTCTGGCCTGAGAATAGGCAGCGAAGGAGGTAGGTGTGGTAGGATATCTAGATGTTGGGGGCCCTGGGTGTACCCTGGCTAGCTAGGGCTCAATAATCAGGTCCCGGGGTGGGTGGGGCTGAGAGAGGAAGGCAGGAGGGAGTGGTGGCCAGCAAGGCTTCCTTCTCACTTGTGCCACAGAGGCCTATCCCCTGGGCTGTAAGCCCCACGGGAGGAAGCAGTTTGAACTTGTGCATTTCTGTACCCCAGTGCCCACAACAGTGCCTAGCAGGCACAGGAGCTCAACAGGTCTTGGTTGGATGAGTAGTCTCTCCAGAAGCTCCATAACCCAAAGAAGGGCAAATCCCCAGTTAGTGCCCAGCAGCACTGGGAAGCGTCCAGCCCAAGTGGCAGGGGCCACTGGCTGGCCCATACCCTCTAGCTGTGTCTAGAGGTCCTCCTCCATAGCAAGCCTACTGCCAGTGGCCTGTTCTTTCTCCATCACACACATTCCCTGTCATCCCCTCAGGCCCTAGAATAACATTTAGGCTGCCCAGAAATGCAGTTAGGAGTAAATGTCATCAGGTCCATATTATTCTGACTGGAAACTGTCAGAAAATTACTCAGTTCATACTAATTTTCTGTTCCCCAAAATGTTCTGTTTATTTGCACCTCTGTACCATACTGATTTCTCAGGCTTGAGAGTCCCGCTCCCACTTGTCTCCCTGTCCCCTCAGTCGTGCACACATCAACCCTGCATCAGGCAAGCTCCTATTCAGCCTTCAGCTCTCAGCTTAGTCCCCACTGCCTCTGAGGAGCCTTCCCCTATTCTGAGCAGGCTGAGATCACAGCCCAGCCTATGAGCTCCCACAGCACCCAGAGCTGTCACTAGTCCTTTCCTCACCATTTTGCCCAAGATAAAGGCTTCACTTGTCTTTTCTATCATTGAATCCCAATTACTGAGCAGAGTGTCTGGCATCTAATAGTTGAATGAGTATTTTCTAGAGGAATGAGTGAATGAGGCTGGAAGTAGGGGTGCTGTTTGCAGTGAGAGCTGGTCAGGAGTTATCTATAGAACTCTTTGGACAGAGCTGGTCCACATGCCCTCAAGCTGAGTGTTGTCCTTGGGGATGGAGAAGAGTGGGTCTGCTAAAACCTGGGGCATCTCAGCTATTCTGATCAATCAGAGCTTGGGGGCATGCGGAGGTCCTTCAAAAGGCAGGGTGGGGGTGGGGGAGCTCACCTGCAGGGAGATGTTGGCCTGGGGGCGGACCTTGGCAGAGGCCAGTTCCACATAGGAGTCCTTGCCCACAAAGTTGACAGTGATGAGCTTCTCACACCTGGGGCCAGCGAAACCCGGGGGACAGCGGCAGGTAGGTTCCTGTTGCACCACGATGCACTGGGCTCCGTTCTGGCACTCATACTGGTCACAGGGGCTGGTCTGTAGCAGGACCATGGGTGGGGGGTTCTCACAGAAGAGCCCACTAGAAGAAGGGGTGAAGAATGGGGGAGGAAGGATGGGAGAACAGTTAAGAGGATTCACAGTTATTTATTTAGGCCAAAGAACCTCTGACAGAGAGGTGGAGTGACATGGGACCTGAAATTAGGTCTAGGGTCTCATTCAGCCCTGCCACTGATGGCAAGTTCTCTTCCTTCTCTGAGTCCCCGTCTTCCCATTTTTAAAATAATGGAGTTGGGCCAGGCATGGCTGAGTACCTACAGTTACAGTTAGGAAGATCACTTGAACCCAAGAGTTTGAGTTCAGCCTGGGCAACACAGTCAGACCCCATGTTTAAGGAAAAAAAGTATTGAAAGTATTAATATAATAACAGAGCTGAACTAGATAGAGTACAGGTCCTCAAATTTTAGTGTCATCAGAAGTGCCTGGGGTATATCTGTTAGAAGTGCAGATCCCAATCCACATTCAGACGAATGAATAAACCAAATGTTGTACATGCCCATCCAATGGAACTATTGTCCAGCCTTAAAAAGGAAAGACATTCTGACACATGCTATAACACGGATGAACCTGAGAGCATCACGCTAAGCGAAATAAGCCAGTCACAAAGGACAAGTCCTGTTGGATTCTACTTACAGGACGTACCTAAAATAGTCGAAATTTTAGAGATAGAAAGTAAGATAGAATTTACCAGAGCCTGTAGGGAGGGAACGGGGAGTTCTTGTGTAATGGGTACAGAGTTTCACTTTCGCAAAATGAAAAAGCTCTGGAGATGGGTGACTGTATGCACTGAATGCACTTAGTATTATTGAACAGCGTCCTTAAAAAAGGGGGTAAGATGGTAAATTTTATGTTGCATATATTTTATCACAATTTTTATAAAAGGGCAAACTCCCAGCCCCTGTTACCCAATCCTCAATTTTAATTCAGTACCTCTGGGGTGGGGCTCTGATCCCCATCTTTCTGCCACTGGGGCAGCTTAATGTTCATGTTCTCTAGCCTAGAAAGGAGATTCTGGCCAACAGAGTCACACAGCTGCCCCTGCCCTACAAGCTGGGCTTCTAAATGGTGGCATCTTCCATTAAGAGGAACCACACCCAGGCTTGACGTCACATGAGCTAGGACCTTAGCCCAACTTCCATATGGAGTTGCCCTGGGTAGCACTTCTCCCCATCTCAAAATGGGACTAACAACACCCACTCTGCACTGTAGGGGCTGAAACGGACCAGGAGGAATGAAGTTGCCACCTACAATCAGCGCTGGGGCTGCCTGGACTTGGGTGTCTATCCCGCTGCTGAAGCTCAGCAGTCCCAACCCCTGCCCCTGGTCCAGGCTGTCTTCCTCCTGCAGTGCCTTCGGCCATACCTGAAGCCCTGGGGGCAGATGCACGTGTAGCCATTGACCGCGTCTGCGCACTGGGCCCCATGGCGGCACTTGTGGGCCACGCAGTCATCGTTGTCTATCTCACAGAGCTTCCCGCTGTAGCCAGGGACACATTCACACCTGGAACACAGGCAGAGAGAGGCTGTTCCTCAGGGTGGGCCAGCTTCCAGGTGGTCATGCTCATGCCCCCACACCCCACCCGCAGCAGGTGGCATCTCCCTCTCTATCTAAATTCCCTAAGGCACTGCAAAGCCTGGCTGCACATCATGTTCTCCTGGCCGCCCACAGTTGGTCCCTGAAGTCAGTGCTTGTCCATTGTGTGTATGTGTGTGTGAGTGCGTGTTTGTGTGTTGTGTGGGGCAGTCTTGTTTTCAGGCTAGATCTACCACTTTCTGCATGGCACTGGTGTTTGGTTCCTCTTTGTGCCAGCCACTGTGCCAAGCAGCTTTCATTGCGGGAAACCACCAGGAAGGGAGGGTCTTCTTCACACAAGGAAAAAGCAGAGCACAGAGAGCTCTGCAAAGTGCCCCCTGCCTCCCCTCCCCCCCCCCCCGGAGTGATAATATTTAGTTTCTGCTTACTGTGTCGGTTACTATTCTAAGTGGATCAGTCACTCATTACCTGGAGAGTGTTTCAGTTGCATCTTGAAATGCTATTAATGATAAATAAGTCTGCCCCATATGGTTGCTTTAAAAATGAAATGATATGCTCTGTAGAGTGCACTGGATAAACATTGAGTAAACAGTCGATATGATATGTAGAAGACGGTAATGATGATGAAGAGGAAAATGATGCTGTTTGCACTCCCCTTGATTTTGTTTTATTGCCTATTCATTTCCCCCAGAGATTTGCACTGGGATAAGAAGGGCACAGTTCTTATGCCTTAATAAATGGCTCATATTCCCCAGGCCGGAGGATGGGAGCTGCTGTCCCAGCCCAGGCCCTGCACGCTGATCCAGCCCCTCCCTGAAGAGCAATGTGTCCGCAACTCCATCCCTATCCCTGCTAGCCCAGGCTTGAAATCTGGCCAGAGAAAGCTGCTCTGGCTGAAACCTGGTGTCCCTGAGTATGTGGGCCAGAACACGCATCTCTGAGCTCCTCTGTCTGGGTGACACTAAACCACAATCCCAGGATAGAAACAGACCTGAGAGTGGCAAGGGGCTAAATTATCTGCTTACTGGCTCTTCTGCCTCCAAAAAAGCCCTTGTGGCTCTCTGAGCCCACTAGCTGAATTCTGCTGGGCAGAGTAAAAATAATGGCCACAACCTATCCAAGTCAGAGGAGCAGGTGGCACAGGCAGGAGGAGGTGGCACAGGTGTGGGGGTGTGTGGAGCGAGGAGCCAGAGCTCTGAATGCTTAGGTTGTCTCAGAAGGAGTCTGACTGGGGAGAAATCCAAGCAAAGGGATGGTCCTCCCTCCTCTTTGTGAATAGATAGACGTGGGTGAAATCCAGAAGCAGATCCTAGCATCACAGGGGTGGGCACAGCATGGTGCAGGCTATAGATGGCTAAGTGAGACACTGAGAGGCTAGGGTGCCCCTGAGGGGGGCAAGTTCCAAATTTGATTATTTACTGGGTCTGTACTCAAAACTATGCAATCTAGTAAGATCTGACCAATTTATCTTTACCTAGTTGACTGGCAAATTTGAAACATGTGACCCATAGTTTTGCCAGAATTTGCAAACTTAAACATCACAGCCCACATTCAGCCACAGTCTTTTTTTTTTTTTTTTTCATTTCAGGTTAATGTGAAGGTGCAAACATCTAGGTCACAGTATTTGAATTTGGTAGATAGAGTCCATCTTGTAGTTGTGTCCTGCACCCAACATGTGGGCCTTATACTCCTACATTGTGCCAATTATGTGGGAGCACACCAATTCCCCCCACCCCTCACCCACTCGCTCTCCTCCCAACTTGAATAGAATTTTAATCCTATGTGGGTGTGTATTAGATCATCTACTACTGGCTTCATATTAGTATTGAGTATGTTGGATATTTGCTTTATCATTCTTGTCATCCTTTACTAAGAACAATGCGTGTAAACTTGTAAAGTCTCCATCTTTCTTACGGCTGAATAGTATTCCATGGTATACATATACCATAGTTTGTTAATCCATTCCTAAGTTGATGGGCATTTAGGTTGTTTCAACATCTTGGTGATTGTAAATTGAACTGCAATAAACAATCTAGTGCAAATGTCTTTATGATAAAATGATTTTTTTTTCTTTCTGGGTAGATGCCTTGTAGTGGGACTGTAGGGTCAAATGGGAAGTCTAATTTGAGTTCTTTAAGGATTCTCCATACTTCTTTCCAAAGAGGCTGTATGAGTTTGCAGTCCTGCCAATAGTGTAAAGTGATCCCCTTTCCATATCCATGCCAGCATCAGCAACTTTGGGACTTTGTGATGTGGGCTAATCTTACTGGAGTTAAGTGATATCTCAGGGTAATTTTGATTTGCATTTCTCTGATGACTAGGGATGATGAGCACCTTTTCATGTTTGTTAGCCATTCATTCCTCTGTCTTCCTCAGAGAAGGTTCTGTTCATGTCTCTTGCCCAGTGATTGATGGGATTGTTAGGTCTTTTTTTGTTAATTGATTTAAGTCCTCTGTAGATGCTAGTTATCAAGCCTTTCAGATTAGCAATATGCAAATATATTTTCCCATTCTGAGGATTGTCTATTTGCTTTAATTATTGTGTTCTTAGCTATGTAGAAGCTTTTCAGTTTAATTAGATCCCACTTGTTTATTTTTGTTGTTGTTGCAATTGCTACTGAAGTCTTCTTCATAAAATTTTTCCCCAGGCTAACATCCTCAAGAGTTTTTCCCACATTTTCTTTAGGACTGTTATCATTTCATGTCTTAGGTTTAAGTCTTTTGTCCATCTTTAGTCAATTTTTGTAAGTGGTGAAAGGTGCAGGTCCAGTTTCAGTCTTACATGTGGTTATCCAGTTCTCTCAGAACCATTTATTGAATAGGGAATCTTTTCCCCAGTTTATGTTTTTGTTTGGTTTATCAAAGATCAGATGGCTATAAGAGACTAGTTTTTGTCTCTTGGTTTTCTATTTGGTTCCATATGTCTATGTCTCTATTTTTGTGCCAATACTATGCTGTTTTGATTGTTAGGGACTTGTAATATAGCCTAAAGTCAGGTAGAGTGATGCCTCTGGATTTGTTTTGATTATTAAAAATTGCCTTGACTATACAGAATTTTTTCTGGTTCCATATGAAATGAAGGACTATTTTTTCAGTTCTTCAAAGTATGATGTTGGTATTTTAAAGGGGATTGCATTAAATCTGTAGATTGCTTTGGATAGTATAGATATTTTAACAATGTTGATTCTTCCCACCCAAGAGCATGGTATATTTTTCTATTTGTTAATGTCTTTTGCTGTTTCTTTTCTTAGAATTTCATAATTCTCTTTGTAGAGGTCCTTCATTTCTTTTGTTAGCTAGGTATTTCATTTTCTTTGATGCTACTGTGAAGGTAACTATGTCTTTGATTAGTTTCTCAACTTGGATATTACTGGTATATACAAAGGCCACTGATTTGTGGACACTGATTTTATACCCTGAGACATTACTGTATTTCTTAATCACTTCCAGGAGTCTTATGGTTGAGTCTCTGGGGTTCTCTTAAGTACAGGATCATATTATCAGCAAAGAGTGAGAGTTTGACCTCCTCTGCTCCCATTTGGATGCCCTTTATATCCTTTTCTTGCCTGATTGCATTGGCTAGAACTTCTAGCACTAAGTTGAATAGTAGAGGAGATCCTTCTCTGGTTCTGGTTCTAAGTAGAAAAGCTTTCAGTTTTACTACATTCTATATGATATTAGATCAGTCAGACTTAGAAAAGTGCCACCTAAGCCTATATTCTTAAATGTTCTTGTTAGAAGAGGATGCTGAATTTTATTAAGTGCTTTTTCTGCATCTATTGAGAGGATCATATGGTCTCTGTTTTTGCTTTTATTGATATGGTGAATTACATTTGTAGATTTGTGCATGTTAACCATCCTTGCACACCTGGGATGAAGTCTACTTGATTGTGATGTACAAATTTTAAAATGTGTACCTGTAGGTTTTTATTAAGTATGTTATTGAGTAAAAAATATTTTATTGAGTATTTTTGCATCTATATTTATTAGTGAAATTGGTTTGTAGTTCTACTTTTATTGAGATTTTATTGAGTATTTTTGCATCTATATTTATTAGTGAAAGATTTTATTGAGTATTTTTGCATCTATATTTATTAGTGAAATTGGTTTGTAGTTCTACTTTTTAGTTGGGTCCTTTCCTGGTTTTGGTATCAGGGTGATGAGATTTTATTGAGTATTTTTGCATCTATATTTATTAGTGAAATTGGTTTGTAGTTTTTAGTTCGGTCCTTTCCTGATTTTGGTATCAGGGTGATGTTTGCTTTACAGAATGTGTTGGGTAAGGTTCCTTCCTTCTCAATGTTTTGGAATAGGTTCTGCAGTAGAGGTATCAGCTTTTCTTTGAAGGTTTGATAGAATTCTGGTGTGAAGCCATCTGCTCCAGGGCTTTATTAGTTGGAAGATTTTTTATTGTTTCTTTAATCTCAGTGCTTGATACTGGTCTGTTCAAGAGATTTATTTCTTCTTGGTTAAGTCTAGGGAAAGGATACGATTCCAGGTATTGGTCCATCTCTTCCACACTGTCAAATTTCTGGGCATAGAGTATCTTGTAGTAGTCAGAGATAATCTCTTGTATCTCTGTGATATCTGTTATTTCTCTTTTATTGTTTCTGATTGCAGTTAGTAGCAATTTTACTTTCCTGTTTCTAGTTAATCTGGCCAAATGTTTATCAATTTTGTTTATCTTTTCAATGAACCAACTTTTTCCCCATTACTTTTCTGAATGATTCTTTTGTTTTCATATTTAATTTTGGTTATTTCTTTTCTTCTCTTAGATTTGGGATTAGATTTCTCTTCCTTTTCCATTTCCTTCAGATGATTCATTAGGTTGTTGATATGCTCTATTTCTGTTTTTCATATGTAGGCATCTAATGTGATAAATTTCCCTCTGAGGACTGCTTTTGCAGTATCTCACAGGTTTTAGTAACTTGTAGCTTCATTGTTATGTTTGAAAAGTTTTCTCCTTT